TCCGGCCAAAACACATATAAGCAGTCCTATTTTCGAAACTTGTCATACCGCCTGATGATTCTTTACTGATGAAACAGACTGTTGCGGATATATATATATATATATATATATATATATACATGAATTTGTGGTTAGAGCTCGACGACTGACCTCTGTAGCTCAGTTTTAGAGCGCTGCACTGGAATCACAGGGCCTTAAGTTCGATTCATAGGGCGGCCTATATGTAGTTGCATTTTTGGCAACTGCTCCTGGTTAGGTCTAATAAATTATATAAATTTACATTCGAATGTTCCATCTACAAAAATGCCCATCTACTATTAGTTCTATCGAACCAGATGCCTACAAATCTGTTTAACTGATACCATCTGTTTAACTGATACCATTTTAATCATAGCATCTAAAAAGGGCTGAAATGTCTTCAGTTTGATATAAGCATCATCTTACGTTGAAATTTTCTCTGTAGAAATGCAGTGATCTCACTGGATCATGTTGATGTTCCAAGTGATATGTTGGTATGGCCTGCATTTCATAATGGTGTTGCTGCTGGATTAAGAATTATTCCTGGAATATCACAGGTAGAATATACATCTCAGTGATAATAAAGCTATCCATTATAGATAGAATCATAGTGTAATCGGTTTTCTCTTAACATGGGTCAAGAAGATATGAGCCTTTATTGGAAATCTGGAAAGAACAGTTTAGAACTGGTAGAGCAGTCCAGTATAAATAAAGTTTGTTTAGTGTAGATTTCCTCCTGTAGTAACACTGGATAAATAAGATATGATCCTTACTGGACCTCCATAGAGAACTGTCCAGTATAAGTAAAATTTAAGTTTCCTCCTGTAGTAACACTGAAGCAATAAAGCATGACACTTACTGTACCTATTAGCGATAACAGTTTAGAACTGATAGAGCTATCCAGGATAAATGCATGATGTCAGCTTAGTTTAATGCAGGTTTCTCTCTTTGTTAACACTGGAGTGATAATAGATGACCGTTAGGCGTAAAAAAAATGCCTGTGGTTCCGGTTTCATATCGTGAAAAAATTAGGGTCGGTAGGTCGGAAATAATTTTTTTTTGAATATTTTTTCATGGTTTTGGCGGTTTTTTGCTGGGCGATTTGCAGTAGAGTCCCAACATCAATATTAACTAGAGATGCGTATTTCCTATGGACGAATTTAGGCAATTTGGTTCAATAATTAGTGTGACAACAGACGCCATTTTGGCACGCTGTATCAGCAGCCCGCAACCACCTGGAGAAAATAGGGTCGCACGGTCAATCGCGTTGAAAAAATAATAGGGTCGGCAGAAAAAAGTAGGGTCGGTCGGGAACCGGAACCATAGGTATTTTTTTTTACGCCTTACTGAACCAATATGGAGAACAGCCTAGAAATGATGGAGCTATTCAGTATAAATAAAGAAAGTTTAGATTAAATTTCCTACTGTAGTAGCACTAGATCAGTAAGGCTAGTTCTCTAGCTATAGAGAGAACAGTTTAGAACCGATAGAGCTATCCATGCAGTATAAATAAATTTTGTCTCTTCAATGATGACATTTTCTTTCACCAGATCGACAGTACATGGATAGTGTACCAGCGACCAAAAGATAATCAACTGACAAATGAACACGCAGGATTTTTGATGGCTCTCGGTTTAACTGGTCATTTGTCAAATCTCGCCATAATGAATGTCCATAATTATCTGTCAAAGGTATTTGAATTCCACTACTTTAGTTTAAGTAAATGAATACAATCCCCGAACAAATTACATTCACGATCCAAAGTTTCGACACTCCAGTCTGGTGTCTTCATGCAACCAGGTATAATATCAGACATGTTTCTCTACTCTGGTTTAAATGATTGCAATCCCTGAACAAATTACATTCACGATCCAACGTTTCAACACTCCAGTCTAGTGTCTTCATGAGTTCATGCAACCAGGTATAATATCAGACATGTTTCTCTACTCTGGTTTAAATGATTGCAATCCCTGAACAAATTACGATCCACGATCCAACGTTTCAACACTCCAGTCTAGTGTCTTCATGCAACCAGATATAATATCAGACATGTTTTGCTACTCTGGTTTAATGATTGCAATCCCCGAACAAATTTACATTCACGATCCAACGTTTCAACACTCCAGTCTAGTGTCTTCATGCAACCAGATATAATATCAGACATGTTTCTCTGCTCTGGTTTAAGTAAATGAATGTAATCCTTAAACAAATTACATTCACGATCCAACGTTTCAACACTCCAACTAAATTTTACGTTATGACATTGCGGATTACATTCATTTATAATTATATTTTTGGTTAAACATTTTTTATAGGGTCATGAATTAACAAGTGTTGGGTTGTTAATTGGTTTGGCCGCAACCAAGTGAGTATCTGTGATTCTGTGTTGCTTTGATGTCGAATTATATTATACCTTTTGTCTTTTCACTCGGCTTTCTTGAGATTGGGGTTGATCCTTGCAGTTTTCTGATTGAAATTTCACCTCGCGGTCACGTGAATGAAAGGTGTATCCAGTTTAACTTTACCAAATACTGCAGGATTTTTCCTTAGAACTGTCCAGTATAGTAAAGTTAGTTTAATCTAGGTTTCCTCCTGAAGTAACAGTGGACCAATAAAGCGTGGACTTCAGTGAACCTCTACGAAGAACAGTTTTAAATTGATAGAGCTATCTAGCATAAATAAAGTTAGTTTAGTTTAGGTTTCCTCCTGTAGTAACACTGGGCCAATAAGAGATGACCCTTACTGGACCTGTAGCAAGAATTGTTTAGAATTGATAGAGCTATCCAGTATAAATAAGGTTAGCTTAGTTTATGTCCCCTAGATTAACGTTGATCTATATTTTCGATGTTTAGACGAGGAAGCATGGATGCATCAATCACCAAGATGTTAAGTATACATATCGACGCATTGTTACCGCCAACATCAGCTGAAATTGACGTTCCAGTTAGTGTTATGAGTGCAGCGGTGGTCGGGATTGGATTGGTGTATCAAGGCACAGCACATCGTTTGATGACAGAAGTAATGCTATCAGAGATAGGTTAGTGCAATCTGAATTCCTGGCTGAGTCTACAACACCAAAGTGGCGTAATCAGAGAGTGCGATAATTCGAGATTTTTGGTCGTACCTGACTGGTACGCTATTGACTATTGCCGGGCACTTAAGCTGGTGTACTTACTCGTTGAAATGATGTACATAAAGTACAGGTTTCTGAAAGGTATTCACTCAGTAACCTGAAACTACGAGTTAGAACGAGAAGGACGACAATTACACAAACACTAGAATTGGCCTTAGTCCCATCAGTCCAGTCATGTCTCATGCCAAAGCATGTCAGACGTACCTATATACCGTTACGTACACAGTTTCTTATTTCTAGGCCGTCCTCCAGGTCCAGAAATGGAGAATGCTCTAAACAGGGAATGTTACTCCTTATCTGCTGGCTTAGCTTTGGGACTTATCATGTTGGAGGTAGGCCTATTGTATTTCTTTAATTACATCATTATATATTCGGCTGTATACTGCCTGAAACGTCGAAAGCTTTTCCTGTTTCGTGTGTTATCACTAGAACTGATAGAGTTATTCAGTATTAATAAAGTCAGTTTAGTTTAGGTTTCCTCCTGCATGTAGTAACACTGGAGCAATAAAGGATGGCCCTTACTGGACCTCTAGGAAGAACAGTTTAGAACTGATACAGCTATCCAATATATATAAATAAAGTTAGTTTAGTTTAGGGTTCCTAGGGAGAACAGTTTATAACTGATACAGCTATCCAATATATATGAATAAAGTTAATTTAGTTTAGGTTTCCTAGGGAGAACAGTTTAGAGCTGATAGAACCGTCTTCAGATCATATCTTGTAGTCTTTTTGTTCTTCGGGGAAAGAATTTTCTGCAAAATTCTATCGAAATTTTTGCAAAACAAAAGTTTTCCGCCATCTTTTTTCTCAACCGTGGACCGTTACGTAATGGTCCTTGGTTGAGTAGCCAATCAGAATGCTGGATTTGTCCTTGGTGAGTGTATCCTATAATAAGGGATGACCTTAACGGATGAAACAGTTTGGAACTGATAGAGCTATCCAACATAAAGAAAGTATGGTTTAGGTTTGCTCTTGTAGTAACATGCATGCGCACTGTACCAATAAGTGCTTATCATTACGGGACCTTTATAGGAAGAGCAGTTCAGAACTGATAGAGCTATCCAGTAGAAATAAAATTAGTTTAGTTTGATTGCAATGTGTGAAAAATGCATTTCTTTATTTTCGATGTTTAGCATGGTCATGGTACTGTCGGTGTTTCAGACTTGAATATTTCAGATCACCTCTATCACTACATGGTTGGTGGACATAAGAAACCACAGGTAGCTATATGTTGCCTTACGAAATAGGTTATTATATATCTTATCCCATGTATGTCATATTTGGGCAATTCCACATGAGAGCTGAGAAAAACCCAAAAACGTCCATAAAACTAAAAGACCAGGAAACTTCCATAAAAGCTAAAAATTATATGGAGTACATACTTTCTGTTTTTATTGAAATGCTGATTTTGAACTGTTCTAAGAAACCAGGACAAGATGACGGAAATTGAAGGAGCTATTGGACGTCAGTTCCAGTCCCTTTCTATTGTTTTTGTCTGCGCGGTTAACACGAAACTGGCTTCACTTTTTACACTCCAGTTCTCGCTCCAGAGATATAATGGAGCTCAGTGGTTAATTTACTTCTAAGTGACCAAGTAACAATTCAAAATTGTTTCGAATATTTTTATTTCATTCTAAATTTAAAATAGCAACCACAAACGAATTTTTGGCTCATATTGATCAAGTTAAAAAAGTGCTTGACCCTATGGCTCATTGCTTTAGATCAAAATATTTCCAGAATCAAGCAAAATGTTTAAAAGCTGTAAAAACTCTATTTATTATTTTAAAATTTCTTTCAAATGAAATTAACTTTTTATTGCCAATGTACTTTAATGAAGGATGTATATATAAATTACCATTTCGAAAATTTTCGATCGAGAGAAGAAGATTGTATTTTTGTATATAAATTTGTATTTTTTTGCAGACTGGTGCACAAAGTGAGAAATTCAAATCTCCAAGCTATTTGATCAAAGTACGTAAAAGTATTCATGTCGCCGAATAGTTTTGCCAACGTTATTTTTAATTTCATTCTTTTAAAACTACCGAATCTGTGTGTAATTAGTAAAATTCTCTTTTTTAGGAGGGAGATAATGTGGATATTAATGTAACAGCACCTGGAGCGATACTCGCCTTGGGACTCATTTATTTGAAAAGCAACAACGAGTATGTTTGGCTGTTTTCATTTCTATTGTACTATAGACATTCATTCACTGTTTCATATTTTGAAAGACCTACAAAAGTCGGGTACCAAATATCACAAGCATTGTTTATGGCAAGCATGCAATCACACCCATAAAACGTAATTGTCATATTAAATAATGACTATTATTAAATAAAACTTAAGCTAAAGTTAGCAACATAGCAAGCAATATATATGATTCTGTACAATGTATGTCAATGATGCCACAACATATATTTTATACAATCTGTTTTGTTCAGTGTAGGATTCCTTACAGCTCTACTGATAAAATATTTGAAACAATCAGAATTGATAGTTATAACTGTACATTAAACAACAACGCTAATCGACATGATTAATTGATTATCTTAGAAAAATTATCTAATGCCAGTCAAGTGGCACAATTTGGAACTCTTTTTTCATTTCATCAAGTGAGCCATGTTCTGAAAGATTCGCATAACTTAGAGCCTTAAACGGACACCGAGATCCCTTTGGCAAATGATGAAAATGTCGTACCGAAGAGAAATGTTTTTCTTGGCAAAAAGTTTGCTTATCCAACCATTAAAAAGTGAAACAAATTTTTCAAAAATAAATACTCACCCCTGGCCAAAAACTTTACAAAAGGATACCATTAGGTTATCACACCTTTACCATTTCTGTGACATGCTCGTGCAATTTTATGCAGTCTAAAGTTTCATATTGCCTTCACATGTACTTTCTTTGGAGACACCATTTACCTCCTGACAAATTGGAAAATGATCAAGATAGTGACTCTGATTGATTTAATATTGTATTGACATATGACTGTTGATATTGCTTTTTAGTCTTCAATATTTGAGTGGGACACAATAAATTTTTATTTATCCAACCTTTTACTCACTTAAAATTTTGTTTACACAACCTCAAAATTTCGTTGCCACCCCCCCCCCTCAATAAATAATTATCGGTCCCTAAGTTCATGTGAAGGGAAATACTTATTATCTTACTAAAACTTGTTTAAGAATTGTTGCATCGTGGCTGTCCGCTCCAGAAACGCCTGTACTGGCTGAATTTGTGAGACCTGGTTTCTTAATGTTGAAAGTAAGTCGCTGTTACAAAGGACGATACTACATTTTCAGATTAATTCTATAATGAGCAAATATTTTGTAGCTTTTGTCAAGAGGTTTAATCATGTGGAGCAAAGTTCTTCCATCGAAAGCCTGGGTTGAATCTCATATACCCAAGGTTAGTCGATATACGTCTCCATATATTCTACAAGCCGGGTTGTCACTCACAAGTTGTTGACAAATTGTTGAATTGCAGGACGATAACAAAGTTGTTGGAACAACTTGTAACTAGTTTGTTGAGCTCAACAACCTTGTAGTCCTGAAATTTATCCTATTTTTTCTTGTTCAGATATTTCAGGATTACGCCTTCAAAGAGAATTCGGAAGATCTGAATGACAATGTTGATATTGATTTTGAGACTGTCAGGTAACTTTAATACTTCTTATAGTGCTTGCATTTTCTCACTACGAGACAATGTTTCCTGGTTTGCCCACCTTTGGGAAACATGATTAGGAAACAATGTTTCCTGGTTTGTCCACCTTTGGGAAACATGGTTCAGGAATAATGTTTCTTGGTTTGCCCACCTTTGAAAAAACGTGGCTAGGAAACAATGTTTCCTGGTTTGCCCATGCATCTTCGTGAAGCATGACTAGGAAACGATGTTTCCTCGTTTGCCAACCTGTTGTAAATATGGCTAGGAAACAATGTTTTCACAACAATTAATGTTTTTAGTTTTCTTATAGGAAATTATTTAGAAACTCAATCGCGCAAATTATACTTTCTCTTTTATCCTGTTTCATTTTAGTCAAACGTACGTCAGTATTATTGCTGGATGTTGTCTTGCCATGGCCATAAAATTTGCCGGCTCTTTCAACCAAGAAGCTTTTAAAACACTTGTATGTTTAAAGTTTTTTTCTCATTCTCCATATTGGACAGTCTAATGTAAAATATACTTTTATGGACAGCTACGATGTGAAGGATATACAACTACTTGAAAAATACCGGGTGTCCCCCCAAAAAACTGGTCACTGTTTGATTTCATGTAACGTAAAAACTATAAAAGCTATCGCAATGACATAAAGATCATTGCATTCAGAAAGGACTATATAACACCAGAGACGGATTTTCGTTTGGGGGGTGGATAAATATCTGGGGGGTGCTGCTGCTTGCTTTGGCCGGGGCATGGTGGCAACACCCGGAAAGGCCAAGGAAAAAGTTTAACAAAATTTGTTTTCTAGGCCTGCATGGCGAGATCTGAGACCATAATATTGGTAATTTTACAAATTTAGTAGTAAGAATAATCAAATATGAAACTATCAAATCAAAATATATATAATTTGCGGGGGTGCAAAAACTTTTGGGGGCGGTACCAAATGCCTCTTGGGGGGTGCAAATAATTTCTGGGGTGTGCACCCTCCAGACAATCCGTGCCTGTAATAATAACACTTGAATTTACATGCAATATTGTGCGAGATACAACCAAAATAAAAATATTTTTATTTAACAAGTATAATAATATACATGAAAAATTTCTCAATTCTGATTGGCTAAGAGCCACGCAATTTTTTCGAACTACAGTGCCAAAAAATGAAACACAGTGCAAATTTCATTGACTATCAGATACAGCCATTTCTAGCAGAAAATAATAGAAAAACCCGAACATTTACCAATGACAAGAATGGCTGACGTTTTTAGTAGGATTTTGATCGTCTTTGAAAAACTCAGTCGTTCATGTTTTTTTCCAAATTGCACTCGAAACTATACTAACCACATCGGTAATTATAAGGTTGTTTTAAGCTAATTTGGACATCTTCAAAAACAGTAGTTCAACGTTCAAACATCAATAGTGCAGTCAATGTTGCATGTAAATTCAAGTCCTATTGTCAAAATCTAAGTTAGTCCTTTCTGAATGCAATGATCTTCATTTCATTGTTATAGCTTTTATAGCTTTTACGTTACATGAAATCAAACGGCGTCCAGTTGGGTTTTGGGGACACCCGGTATATAAAGAGAACTTGGACGTTCCGAGCGAAGGCCTTTCTTCGGGATGTTAGTAATCAAAAACTAACTTCTAACTAATTTCTAACTTGGCTACTGCTGTAACTTTTCGAAGGGCCCTTCGCTCGAAACGTCGAGTTTTTGCTTATATTTTTCAGGTACACACGTAAAAACACACAAGTTGTAACAAACCTGCAGCAGACTTGTAGCAATGCTGTTCCAACAACTTGTCAACATGATGTGTTCGCACTGCTTGTTCCCAGCTTGTTGACAAGTTGTCAACGGCTTGTTGACAACTTGCTACAAGGATGTTGAGCTCAACAGACTTGTTACAAGTGTGAGTGACATGCAACCTTGGTATCGTCCTGCAATTAAACAATTTGTCAACAAGTTGTGAGTGACAACCTTGTAACAGTTTGATAAATAACAGCATTATTACAACTTGTTCACAAGCTTGCTACAAGCCTGTTGGGAACACATCTTGTTGAGAAGTTGGGCGATTTTAGTGTACACACGCAAAAATCTCACATCTTGTAGCCAACAAGCCGTGTTCGCACTGCTTGTCCCAAGTTGTGAACAAGTTTGGAACAAGCTGTTAGCAACTTGTAACAACGTTATATACAACCTTGTGCCGTCAACCTTGTAACATTCTTGTTATATCATGACTGTATCAGACTTGTTATAACAACCTTGTAACAAGTTTGATAATGCCATTAGTTGTTAACAGCTTGCTCCAAATTGTTACAACAACTAGGAACAAGCAGTGCGAACACAACTTGTCGACAGCCTGCGAACACATTTGTAACAACTTGTTTGCAGACCTGTAACAACGTGTGTTATCGTCCCCACCGTACACTGTCCACCAAATATACTTCTCTCTTAATTTTCGTTTATTGTAGTATATTTGTATAAGCAGTTTTAAAAATACTTCCTATATTTTTAATTTCACACTCCTATTTTATTTTAGATGCACTATACAAAATACTTTAAAGATCTTCTTGAAAAACCTCAGGCTGAACAGGTTCGTATGTTTAATTTGACGTTATATAGGTTTGGAGATAAACAACTGATCTCAAAGCACTAACGTATATTCTTAGCCCAGGTTCATCTTGTTCCATTCTGAAACATTTTTTCAATCTTCTTTAATTGCTTGAGCTACAAAGACCGTGCACGATTTCTTTTTAAACTACGATTTCTTCTTTATGGATTTCTTCTGCTCAGAATCAATTTTGTTCGTTAAAAATATCTAATAGAATAGGTTTCTCGCGATGCTTATCCTCTTTACAAAAGTTTTTTTCCATTTAAAGTCTCGATTTTAGATTTTTTTGAAAAAATTTGTTTAAATAACAATATCACATTCACCGCAGCCGCGCGAAATTTCTTGCTACACGAGACTGGAACGAGCCAAAATGCCCTTATAAACTCGCCATTTTGTGGAGACAAAATTTTTACTGAGTCGAGATAGGAGATTAGGAGTACATAATTCTATGTCTATTGGTTCTATAGCTAAGACCCAAACAAGCCGACCAATCGACTGCAAAATTTAATATTTCGCTCCAATCTCGTTCCCAGTGCTTCACGGCTGTCTGAGGTTGATTTCGTTTCAGAAAATAAAATTATCGTGCATTTATTATTTAATTTTTTTTTCAGTGTGGCAGAGTAATTTTGGAACAATGTTTGAATGCAATCCTACTGGCACTTTCAGTGGTATATGTCAACTCTTTATTTATGAGTACAGATTACTTTGTATTTTAACGATACGTTTCTCAAACGGCAAACAAACCTAAAAAGTATGTTTAGTGCTTTATCTGCATGTAAAATTATGCTAAACTGAAGAGATTTTAGATGGTACGCCAAAGCGAAAATGCTGTCTGAAGTTCAATAAGTTTTGCTTATATTGCTGTAAATATGGTGTCACCTTTCAGCATCAATGATAATTGTATAATTGTATTTAAATTGACAATATTTAACTATTATTTTGTGTTTCTCAACCACCAGATACATTTAAAAAGGTTGCTAACTGTGTAAACTATAAAATAAAGTAATTTTGAGATCGAAGAACGCCAAAAAGATTTTAGATTATGAACACTTTTCATTGCAAACACGCGACATTGAAAACAATTGCCTCTTAATGGACCATTTGCATTATAGACTAAATGTTGATCTAAACAAGTCTAGACAAGAAATTCATCACAGCTTGAAAGAGCATCACAAAATAGTAATATTCCAAAGTTTCGTTGCGAAATGTTGTAAAATGCGGATAATATAGCCTTGCGAAGTTTGCCGTTTTTCAGTCATTTTGTATTACGCACGGGGCATCAATTTCCCGTTTGTAATACAAAATGACTGAAAATTGCAAACTTCGCAAGGCTATATTATCCGCATTTTACAACATTTCGCAACGAAACTTTGGAATATTACTAATTTTGTGATGCTCTTTCAAGCTGTGATGAAATTTTTGTCTGGACCAAAATTTAGTCTATAATGCAAATGGTCCTCTTGTTTTCCAGGTGATGGCCGGCAGTGGTAACCTAGAAGTTCTCAGAATAGCTCGAGAGTTACACAAACGACATTCAGCTGAGATAACGTATGGCAATCACATGGCAGTTCACATGGCAATAGGATTTCTTTTCCTTAGCGCAGGAAGGTTAGTGGATTTCTTCATGTAAATGCAACTATAATCTCGTGCATGTGAGTGAAGATTTGGTAAGATCCTCCGGTTTCTCTCATCTTAACCGTGCTTCGTGATCAGACACAGGTCGAATGACTACATTCAGATTCGCTCTACACTCGTAAAAATCTCACAGCTTCTTGTTCCCAGTTGTGGATTAGTCTGGAACAAGTTGTTATCATCTTGTAACAAGGTTGACGAGGCCAACAGACTCGCAACAAGTTGTTGCAACAAGTTGTTGCAACAAGTCGGATATCGTCTGCACATAACAAGTTGTTAACAAGTTCATGACAACAAGCTCGTAGCAACTTGTTACGAACAGCCTGTATTAGTCTTGTTGGAGCAACTTGTAGCAAGTCTGTTACCGTCATCAATCTTGTAACAAAGTGATAACAACTTGTTCCAGACTTGTCACAACAAATATTGGCTTGACAACAACCTTGTTACAGCTTGTTTGCTGATCTGTAACAAACCTTCTACACACGTAAAAACGCACCAGTTGTTACAGGACTGCAAATAAGTTGTTACAAATCTGTTCACAGCTGTCGACAAGTTGTATTCGCACTGCTTGTTCCTAGTTTTTGTAACAAGTTCTGAACAAGCTGTTAACAACTTGTAGCAAGCTTGAAGGCATTATCAGACTTAGTCTGAGACTAAGTCTTACACGGTCATGATATAACAAGATGTTACAAGGTTGACGACACATGGTTGTAACAATATTGTTATATCACGACTGTGTCTGACTTGTTGGAACAACCTTGCAGCAAGTCTGATACTATCAACAAGGTTGTTACAAGTTGTTAATAGCTTGTTCCATACTTGTTCACAACTTTAGACAAGCAATGCAAACACAACTTGTTGACGACTTGTTGTCGTTGTTGGCAGATTTTCTGCAAGATATGAGATTTTCACGTGGTCACATTTGAACTGCGTTCTTCGCAATCCAGCACTCAGCTGCAAGGGAAGAAGACGAGCAGCCCTACATCTACTTTTTATGAGAGTCTTATCTTTAAAATGGTTAATAAATATTGTACATTTTAGGAGTACTCTGTCAACATCTGGTCCTGCAATAGCGGCGTTAGTTTGTTCTTTGTTTCCACAGTTTCCTATAACAAGCTCTGATAACAGGTAAGCAAGAAACAAATTTAAAATGTTACTGGATAGTTATGTCATTTCTAAACTGCTCTCTCTAGATGTCCAGTAAGGGCAGTCTCAACCTGAAAAAATTACTTTATTTATACTGGGTAGCTCCATCAGTCTTAAACTCTCCTCCCTGTAGGTCTGGTAAAGACCGTCCCAAAATATATAAGCGTTGCTACGGAGCTATGCAGTATAAATAAAGTTAGTTTAGTTTAATTTTTCTCCTGTGAAACTGAACCAATAAAGGGGCGACTCTCGGAAGAACAGTTTTGAGCTGATAGAGCTGTCCGGTATAAATAAAGTAAGGTTTCTTCCTGTAGTAACACTGAACGAGTAAAGAGTGACCCTTATTGGACCTTTAGGAAGAACAGTTTTGAACTGATAGAGCTATCCAGTATAAATAAAGTTAGTTAAGGTTTCTTCTTGTGGTAACACTGGACCAATAAAGGTTGGCTCTTAGCTGGACCTCTAGCGAGAACAGTTTAGAACTGATAGAATTATCCAGTATTAAATAACGTCATTTCGTAATAGATCATTCATATTTTAGATGTCATTTGCAAGCTCTAAGGCATCTTTACGTCTTGGCTGTGGAACCTCGCCTCATTATACCCAGAGATGTCGACACTAAAGAAGCTTGTTATGTTCCAGTTGAAATAACTTTGAAGGTCGGTGCTCAACATGTTTTAAACTTTTACTGTAGTATGGATTGGGCCCTTTGTATCATCCTCGTTCCCAATCTCTTTCCTCTATGCTCCTACCTCGCTGGAGAGCCTAGGAACGAGATTGGGGACGGGAAAAGGTAATTAATTACCAAAAAAGGAAGTATTTAGCAGAACAAATTACCAATTCCTGTGAAACTGAAATCTTGCATAAATGGAATAAATGTTATTTACTATTGAGAAAAGAAACATTTTAAAAAATCCTATCAAAATGCAAGAACAAGTGTTGTTGTGACTGTTATAGCCATACTGTTTTAGTGCATGCTGTCATATTGCGGAATTTAATTGACATTAATTTTCTCTGTGAATGTGCCAATTAAACAATTTTTGTGAACGATTATTCTATCATTAGACCTTTATATAAGAAGTAAGTATATTTTGCACAAGATCCACATTACGAAATGTAATCTGTAATTACCTTTTTGAGAGGGTAATTTTCTAATTGTATTTTCTAATTTAATTGCTTTTGAAAAGAGATAATTGTAATTGGAAATTAATTACCTTCTTAATTCTTTTTTTCGCAGTTTAATGTCGGAAGAATACTTGACTGAGTCAAATTCATCTTTTTACTTATGAGTTTTATGAAAATATTCAATTTCTGCAATAGGAAACTCCGTACTATTCTGAAACTGTGATCAATGAGGTGGCTCCTTGCTTGTTACCTGACGCTGATTTGATTAAACAAGTAGACATTTGTGGACAACGTTATTGGCCTATTGTTCTCGACGGAGAAACTTTGGCTGATGAACTCAGGTACATGCGTAAACATCTCATACCTTGTCAACAAGACGTGTACGTACTGCTTGTTCTCAGTTGTTGACAAGTCTGATTGTTATCATCTTGTAACAAGGTTGATGAGACCAACAGACTCGCGACAAATTGTTCCAATCTGATATCGTCTGCACGTAACAGGCTGTTGACAAGTTGCATGATGACAATAAATTCGTTGTAACAGCCTGTATTAGTCTTGTTGGAAAAACTTGTAGCAAGTCTAGCTGTTACCATCATCAACCTTGTAACAGGGTGATACCAACTTGCTCCAGACTTGTCACAACAACTGGGACCAAGCAGTGCGAACACATCCTGATATTGGCTTGAGTCGCTTGACAATAACCTTGTTATAACTTTTATGCAGATCTATAAAAATGCGCGGGTTTTTTTAACTCTGAATTTAAAAATTTAACTCGAGAGGTATTCCACTCGAGTAAATTTTTGTTACATTTTGAGTTGACTTTGTTCGTGTAAGAAATTATGTTTCAAATTTTCTTCTTATGTTTACCTGAGGATGATGGTTCTGTAGTGAAATGCCACGTTTCATTGATCTTTCGTCAACTTAAGGTTAATTTTGTCGAAAGGCGGAACAGTTTTTGTCAAGAAGAGAATTGGTCAACTTCCTTACAAACAAGATCTCAAGGTATTTCACAGGCTAGGAACGCTGTAAAGAGCATGTCAGTGCGATTAATCCCATATTTAAAAGGATTTAAAAGAATATGAATTGTATAAATATGATTTTTAGGGATATCGCAATTTACTGGCACGCACATTTACAGAACAAGCCGAGAAGGTAGGCGTGCTGTTAAAACGTAATTATATATGAGGAGGAGGTAAATTTGTTAGAAACTAAACACCCTTAAAATACTCATTAAAAATTCATAAACCTTGTGGCAAATCAGGTCAGCCATAATATGTCACGTGGAGTGACTTTATATCTGATAAAACTCATCTTCATTAGTATTCTTTATATAATTGTTCATCCTAATTAGTATGATTATATCATTGTTCATCCTAATTAGTATGATTATATAATTGTTCATCTTAATTAGTATTCTTTTGTAGTCGTATTTTAAGTAGTATTTAAAACACGAGAAGGAGTGTTTTATCATATCTAAAACGCTCGGGTGCGCCTCGCGTTTCAAATATGATAAAACACTCCTTCTCGTGTTTTAAATACTACATAAAGTGAAGTGAAGTGAAGTGCGGGTGTTCTACTCATCCTTACTTGTGGCTGAGAGCCAAGCTGAATTGCGAAGGATGGAGCTCAACCTGATCGAGTCGATGGTTTTTTAAGAACGTCCCTTGCGGAGCACAGCTACGGTGAAAGGGTCAGTTTAGGGCAAATTCCAGCCCACCCTGTCAGCATTCCCTGTGGGAGGAAATACCCTGAGAAAACCCACGACTTTTGGTAAAGCGTTGACAAACTCTTTTCAGGTTTGCTGAATAATTAGGCCAAACACCGTCACACTAGGCCTTTGTTTTCTTTGTCTTGGCCTTTTGTTTTCTTTGTTTTCTAAACGGCACTAATGACGATTTGGCCTAATTATTCATCTAACTTAACAACCCTGTTTTCACATGAGCAGGTAACGAGAATCGAACCCACGAACTCAAGAGGTGAAAGGCATGCACTTTGCTCTGACGATTAAAAGAGCCTGTTATAAAGCCCTAACTCCCACCTGAAATCCATATGTTCTTGCAAATGCATATGAAAATCATTGTGTGTTCATACAAGAGAGCCCTGCTAGGTGAGATATCACCTCGTATTAGGTGGGATAATAATAATAACACTTTATTGAACGAAGATTAACAGATAAGGCTACCACTTGTTTCCAATCTGGTACATGCATTAACTGATATACATTACAATCACACAATATTAAACCTATGTGCCTATCAACAAATATATCTACTGGAATTAATTAAAACATTAAATTGGCTTTGCTAAACTATATAAACTGGGATAAAATCATTCCATATGAACGCTTCCTACCTGGGAAGGTAGGAAGTACTACAAAACGAATATAAAAATTCGAATCAAATCCATGTAATGGTCACATAAATTGGATAAAACAAAACACGTTTTTTGTTTCGCAGGTGGATATTATCCGTTCGTTTTCCAGTGATCCTGAACTTATTCAGTTCACAGAATTATTTTGTCATAATACCTCGAGCAACGAAAAGGTAACTAACTTAATTTCAGTCATAATGTGCCGGTCTTGCTCTATCAGTTTTAAGGTGTACTTCCCAGAGGTAGTGTAAGCATCGTCCCTTATTGGCCCAGTTGTTACTATAGCTAAAAGAGAAATTTTGCCTATCATTTTCCCATACAAATTACAAATCCCAAGAGAATTTTCAATCTTAAATTGAATGCCATGCCTTCCATAAGGCATATTATATAAGCTGCAACTTTGCACTTAAACTAATATTGAGGTGCTCTGTTCATTTCTGGGGTTCATTTTGAGCTGCTCGCGTTTTAAGGAAGATGGGAACACGTGTCCCAATTGTTGCAACAGAGGTGAAAGACATGTATTATTAACCACTGTGTCACCAAAATCTGTTCCTATTTCTTATAGGAGAGAAGATGCAGCGAGTTTCTTTCATCAGTTCTCTTTAAATGTGTTAGCCAAGAGACAACTTCTATGATTTATACATATTTTGCCATCGAGAAGGTTAGATAATTATACTTTTTGTGCTCAAACTAATGTATTCATGATATTTTCGAGCTCAACAAACTTGTGAGAACTAAGGTTTGCATTTCATCTTGTTATAAAATGTATGTTGTTGCCGTTGTTATTATTGTTGTAAATTATTGTTGCTGAAATTGTTATTGTTACTGTCGTCGTCGTCGTTACTGTCGTCGTCGTCGTCGTTACTGTCGCCGTCGTCGTTACTGTCGTCGTCACCGTCGTCGTTACTGTCGTCGTCGTCGTCGTCGTCGTTACTGTCGTCGTCGTTACTGTCGTTGTCGTCGTTACTGTCGTCGTCATCGTCGTCGTTACTGTCGTAGTCGTCGTCGTCGTCGTCGTTACTGTCGTCGTCGGTGTCGTTACTGTCGTCGTCGGTGTCGTTACTGTCGTCGGTGTCGTTACTGTCGTCGTCGGTGTCGTTACTGTCGTTGTCGGTGTCGTTACTGTCGTTGTCGTTGTTGTTGTTGTTGTCGCTGTCGTCGTCGTCGTTGTTGTTAATAACATGTGCTGTCTTTTTAGGCTCTGCAAAATGTGGAAAATCAGAGTGATATTCGGGCTTTATGGGAGCTTCTATTGGTGTTGACGTACTACGAGAGTTCGTTTGACCGAGTAATGAAGAAAAATTTGGATATGAAGGTAGACTATAGTGTTAGTCTATCTTAAATAACAAGTAAAGCATAAGCCAGGTTGAGGCATAGATTGCCCACAGAGAAGTAGCAGCGTCCATAAAGCTCCTCTGGTTCAGGGAGTACACCTCAATCAAACTTTTCAAAGAGTACACCGCAGTCCCACAAGTTCCAGGAGACGAAGGTCGTGCAGAGGTCCATAGCCACAAACAATGGCCAGTGTTAAAAATTTGGCTGTTTGTCTCTGTTTATTTAGCGATCGATCAGCTTGAATTACACAGTGGAAATAAAAACTCGTTTGGACGCCCATTTCCAAAAGTATCTTGACACAGGTATTTACTTGATTTATTTGTATTTGTTTATTTACTTATTCCTAATTTGTTTACAAATTTGTGTGCTCTTTCTTGGTATTATTAAATGTTTATTTCTTAAAATTATTTTAAGTTATCCAGTCATGCTATAAAAGATTTCTCACTGAGTTTTTTTTTCAAAATTTGGAAACCAGGAATTAACAATTATTGAATAAGGTTGAGATGATATCAAGCCAAAAGTTTGTGTTATTAACCGAAGCCAAAGGCTGAGATCTATGACACAAACTTAGTGCTTGATAATTTTTCATACCTTGCGAGAACCGAATTAGATAATTGTTTAATTTTATTACTTATTTAAAAGATGAAACGAAATAGTTCCTTTTCCCATTTGTGGAAAATCTTTCCTTTTTTTGTTTGATAAGTATATTACAATGTTTCAAAGCCTTTCGTGGCTGTTTTCATTGATATTTCTTCTTTGTATTTTGAAAGTTGCGAACACGGTCGAAGGCGGCGCCATGTTGTTTTGGTCGTGTTTCCACATTTCGTATTCGTATTTCCACAGCATGACGTCATAACGTTGAATATGATTTTTTCATATCAACATTACGACGTCACTCCGTTGAATATTATGTCAAAACTCCATATTTAGTCAGCTATTGAGTTGATATGACGATTTCACTGATGGCCAATCGGAAACCATGAACTTTTAAATAAATACCAATGTCTTTTATGTCATCCGGCAAATTGCTCCATAATTCAAATTGTGCAATGGATGAAATTTTAAGCAAATCGAATTTGCGATCATATTTTGTTAATAAAATCATTGAAATGTTAGATATTTTATATCTGGATGTATAATAAAATATTTGGCTCTCTGTTGTTTCAGGAGTTGGTGAGTTTCAGAAATACATGAAGGATTCCGGAAGCGATATGAGTACAGAGTTGGCATGTTACATGGCGTATCACGGCATTCATGATACCAGGAAACTGCCAGTTGAATTCACACAGGAAAATGGTTAGTATATTTATTATTAGCATGACAAAATTACTGGATGCTGATTGGTTGAGAGGAGTACAATTATTTCATTAATTGTACTGCAGTACAATTAATGATTTTTCCATTACAAACAAAATGGCGGAAACATATTTTAAACTCAAGCGTGAAATGAAATTGCCGTGGAGGAACTAGATGAAAATACGAACACAAGCACCAAATTTTGCTTTAACAAAAGAACTAAATGAAAATACAAACAAAAGCACCAAATTTTGGTTGAAAGTCTGGCAGGACTGG